CAGACGACTATCGGAGTCGAGGGAGTCGAGGGCGCCTGAGTTGCCAAATCAAGGTGGTCGCAGCTTCGCATTTGTGCGGCTTATTTGAAGCGAAAAGTCGGATTTAGCTAAAGGTGAGCGGTTCGCATAGCCAAGCAGACGTTGCAGCCGTGAACTCTGACCTTTCTATACGACGACTCGAAGCTTATGGGTTTTCCGCAGCGTCGTAGCGATACCGCAGCGGTCTTACTCGTGTTTCGTGTGTTTTGAGAGGAGAGGAGAGGAAGTGCGGAATCGGAGAGAGTACCGCACCGGTATATATAGTTGCATGAGAAGGGGCCCGTGCACTCCCACCCCTCCTCAGCTGCCGTGAGTGTCAAGCGATCCGTGCTCGAAGCGATCCTTCCTCGAAAACTGTTTCTTGACGCTTGATAACAAGACCGCTGACCATGTTCTACAGCGGTACAAGGCGTTGCAGCGCGAAAAGACGCAAGCAGACCGGGCAAGCTCAAGCGCATATAGCCGGCTCGTAAATTGCTCTTTGGGCTCCTCGACCTCCTACGCGGTAAAGGCGGCAAGGCATCTTGAGTTGGAATTAGCAGCGCAAGGGTCAAGAGTGCCGCTTGTGCACAATAGCTCTCGGCGTCTGGCGCATGAGAGCTGACGAGGGCTCAAGCGCGAAATGCAACGAGGCACAAGCAGCGACCTGGGAAGGCTTGATGCTCTATCATCGAGAAGCTCGCAAGTGGCTGATGGCGCACATGACAATCCAAAAGTGAACGCGGCAATCGCAGCTTAATGCGGCAACGGCAACCGGCGAAGACTGAGAACGCCCCCGGGATACTTTGCGGCGAACGTTCACGCGGCCCGCGAACCACGAAGGCTCATCACGATGGTCAATTGCAAGCAATGGGTGTCGTATATCACGGATACGTGAAGAGCGACCTGCGACTAAATGCCTCAAGTCTTTCGACAAGCGCTTGATCAATCTGCGGGCGGATGTCGCTGCTAGTCTAGTGCATTCAGGCGACAACTCATTTAGAAAATTGCGCCGCATTCTCGATAGAACTGGACAAGCATGGACATTTCTGAATGAGACCCGACGAGCCACCCAAATTCCACGCCCGGAATTCTTGATCTCTCTTTTGATCAGTGGCCACGTCGAGCAGTAATGGTCTCCAATCTCTCTGGCGTCGTACTGCCGCAGAAATCTACTGTATCACCCACGCTCTCCGACGGGTCTACTGGTTTTGGAGGGGACGAACGCTCGCGCCAGCGCTGTACGCTTTTGAAGCTCTAGAGGCTCAG